AAACCACTGTTTTTGAGCCAGACCTGGCCTATATAATGCAGTCGAGATCTCAGTATCACCCTTCACATTAGTGCAGTTAAGTTATTTGTTTAGTCTTTCATAAAATAGTTCATTTGCATTTAATGTTAATGGTTCAAAGAATGTCAGGCTGAATGGTCGGCCCCCACACATTTTCACCTCACCAAATCTGGCCCTCCTTGCAAAAAGTTTGGGCATCCCTGGATTATACCAACAGTTTGCAGAGCTATCCCAAGTACATGTCCATTACATTTTTCTCTTTATTATTTTATAAAGCTAAATGGGAAAGTTGGAATTAGTACTACTGCCGTGGCCCGTTAAAACTCTTTTGCTTTTCTTTCTCAAGCAAGCACCTGTCCCATAAAAATTTATTTGGCTTTTAGCTGTAAAGAAAGCTGGTTTCATTTTATGATCTGTATATTTTTGAACTGCTCCTTCCAGTTAGTACTTGAACCCAGTTGCCTGATATAAAGTGTGATTGTTTGCAACCTTGATGTCTTTCCAAAATGGTAGGACCAATAAAATCCTTCATAACCAAGTTTTATAACTTGAAATTTAAAAGGCTTTTTCAGACTGGAGTTTCTCTGTGGGCAACTTTTCTTCACACACACACACTGGCGCCTGGGGACAAGAGTGCCTGGGCATATGCAGAGGACCCAAAAACAACATTGCTTTTTGAAAACTGCTTTAATAGTGTGCTTATAGCAGTGCTCATGAACCTCTTTCACCTTCCATTTTGGAGAAGCTTTCAGAGGCAACACTGCAGTGGCAGATTGGGCAAAAGGGACAGAACAAAAATACGTAAATTCCAGCATATTTTTGCTTCAAGTTCGTACTCTCCGTAATTCTCCACATGGGCTGTTTCAAAACTGTGTTCTCTTTTTCTGAAAGGAAAGCAGGAGCAAACATTTAAAAATGCATTAAATTGTTTTTTTTGTGGGGGCCTGCAAAGCATCTCAATTATGTGTGGTGCAATGGTTAGAAGTGCTGGCCTGGGGCTTCGGAGATCTGGGTGCTAGTCCTGACTCAGCTGTGAAGCCCACTGGGCCACTGTGCACCAGTCGCTGCTTCTCAGCCTTAGATGGTTGCTGTGAGGATAAAACGGAGAGGAAGAGAAACTTGAGAGCCACCTTAGGTTCCTTGTATAGTAATAATCACAGCAACAACCGAACTTCCTAACCAGGCACCCTCCAAGGGTTGGACTACCACTCTATCGATGGGAATGATAGGAGTAGTTGCAATCAAAGGCACCAGGTTAGGAAATAACTACCTTACAGTATTTTAAGCCTTGGGCTCCGCCTAGTGGCCTACTTCTTGACAGCGGCTCAATAGCAGAAGTAAACCTTTTTTAAATAAATTGCATCTTGGTCCTGCAGGAGTCAGTTGCCAAGGATGATCTAGTGGTACATTTTGAAATACAGGTGCACATGTTCAGTTCTCTCAGTCACACCCCAAAGGAGTAAGGTGACCATTTATGCATTGCCAAAACAAAGGACCAAACCAGGGGCCAATTTGCATGTGCTAATGCATATGCATGCATCAAATTTCGGCTCACAATAACAGAGAGACCAAGGTCACTATAGGGAAGAAGTCTGACCAGTGTACCTGGCCAGTCTGTTGTCCAGCTGCTAAATCTTGACAGATAATTTAAAGGCAGCTGCATCTCCCTCCACAGGTTTTAATGCAACCCGTCAAACAGCAGACCCCTTCAAGATCGTGCTCTCTTAAATAGGTTACTTGGTCACCTGGCCAAAAATGCTTGTAATGCTGTTGAGCTGCATCAACAAATCAGCAGTTTGTAAACTCCCCAAAGAATGTTGGTTATTGGATAGTATACAAATGAAATTAAAAATAATAAAACAGTTCTAGTAGTTTGTATCTCTTAACAGGAGCAGGCATTTTATAAACTCTTGTTTAACTGAGATCAATGCTGTAAACTGTCCAGGGAACCTTTTTTGACTGATGGACGGGACAGAATCAAAGAAAAAGAAAGAAAGAAAGAAAGAAAGAGAGAGAGAGAGAGAGAGAGAGAGAGAGAGAGAGAGAGAACCAGACATACCCACCTGTCCAGTAGTTCACACACAGAGTCTCATGGGTCCTTAGCCAGTGTGGTTTAGCAATGAAGTGCTGGAACTTAAAAAAGCAAGACCTGAGTTCAGATCTCTACAAACTTTCTGGGTGCTCTTGGCCCAGTAACTGAGGCTAGCCTACATCACAGGGTTCTGGTGAGGATAAAGGAGTGGAGACCACAAAGGCGGCGGGGGGGGGGGGGAACGGGACCGTGTGTGCTGCCTTGAGCTCCTTGGAAAGACAAGGCTAAACGGTTAAAAGGTTCTCGATAATAAGAAATATTTCCCCTCGCTTTGTCTCCATTCATCTTCTGTGCTCCTCCTCAGGAAATCACCACCACCACCTTTATAGCAGTATCACCTATTCAGAGGCAGAAATTCAAATAGCAAAAGTATCTGAGATGTTCCTAGTGGCAGTTGTTAAACTCCAGCTATCCAGCTATCAAAAAGTGTGCACATTTTTTTTCCTGTTATTCGGGCTTGACGGAACTTCCAAGTGGTTTGTAAAAGGTGGGGGTGGAGAACCTGCTAACTCTTTTGGTAGTGGGAGGAGTGAAGGGGCAGGAGGAGGTTTTGATCTTGTACAGCACACCTGGCTTATTTGTATCCCACTCACTGGGAGCCCAACGATCTCCATTATACTGCTGGATTTTGCAAGGAGCAGGTAATGCCCTGCTCTGAGTTATGCTGAGGTATCTTTCCTTTCCTTTCCTTTCCTTTCCTTTCCTTTCCTTTCCTTTCCTTTCCTTTCCAGTAGGATGGTGGGGAAGAAGTGTGGCTGTATTTGTAGGGTGGTAACAATTATGCACTAACTTAAACTACTTCCGATCCCATTCAAAAGGCTATATCCAATATGATCCCTACTTGAAAGGATACCCATTGAGATGAATAGGAATGATTAGTAATGACTTATTGAAGTCCCACTTCAAGGGTCCCCTGGTATACAGGGCTAATCATGGATTCCACACACGGTGCTGGGTTTCACCCTGAAAGCAGGGCTGGGGAACTTTGGGCCCTGGGGCAAAATTCAGGTTTCCTGGGATTCTCCAGAAAGCCATGCCGCTTTCTCCCAACCACCTGCCGTTTCCTGGCTGTAGCGTACTTCTTCCTCCATCCTGAAAGGGCTGAAAGGATTCTTCTAAGGCTTACTTACTGCATTATTCTAAAATATGCTAGTATTTTGGCCCCATCCCCTTTGCCTTTGACCCCTCCCACCAGTGATATGCAGCCCACAAGAGCTTCTCGGAGCTTGGCCCTTGCACTCGAGATTCCCCACCACTGCTTTAAAGCCCCAGTAAGCTTGGTACTCTGGTAGTTTAAGGGCCTCCATCTCCTCCTTTGCGCACCATGTACCTCAGACTCACCCCAGATATCACAGGCTGTTCTGGTTGGCCTTCTCTGTTATGACACACCAATTTTGGGACTCACTTACCTCAGAAGTGCACTCAGTGTTCTTTGAAGATTTGTTGATTTTGATGTTTGTTGCAGTTCCTTCCATTTCACCTATTACATTAATTTTAAAATGGCTCTAAGCTTCTTTGGAGGGTCTTCAGACAGAGAACTGGGCTAAACATTCAGATAGAATTCCAATAATTAAAGAAAACTGTCCGGGCCCAAATCCCAGGAATTATAGTTTTGTGAAGGGGCTTAAAGATCTCAGTGCCAACCTCTTGCGAACTTCTAATCCGAGGATTTCTTGGAAAGCCTGAATCTTAAGTGAGTTTATTAGTGCTGCAGCTGTGCTTCGAAGAAAAAGACCTGATGAACACACCACATCCATTCCCAACCTTCTTCCCTCCAGTTGTGAGGAACTACAATTCCCATGGTCCTACTTGGCTGGAGATGATGGGAACTATATGCCCATGCAGGCTGGAGCAATTCAAACTGGATTCCATGTGAAAAGGTGGATTCAGGGTTTGAAAAAATCTGGAATACTAAGAAAAGCAGAGAGAGGCACAGTGGAGCAGTATTTATGATGATTTAATAGTCTGACGATCCTAGCTTAAAAAAGTTTCTGGCTTTTGTGTAGTTCCCATCCCCCAATTTTACAAGATGGAAATTCTTCCCTTATAGCTTAGTGACTGTAAGTGCTTAAAATTGGATGGGAATATTCTGGGGGGGGGGGGGTAAATTTTTGGTGTTCTTTTTTGCTTTCAGCCTGCCCCCCACAATGGAGGTGCACCCCCAGTAAAGCTTCCATGAAATGGAAGAGAGCCCTCAGGAAGTTCAACAGCCATGCCAAAATCCACACTGGTGTCTGATCAAAATTCACGAGGGGTGCATTTCTCTGCCTCTATAGCTAACATGGTAACAAACTACACAAATTAAGGTGATATTTGTAATTTTGCATAATCTGCGCAGGTTAACAAAATCACACTAGTTTGGCAAAGAAATTAATACTTTTTATAATTTCTGATGAGTCCACCCCCTCATTTTTTTGCAACCCTTCCTCAGAAGTAGCGCTCTCAACTAAGGCTCAACCTGCCCATCACAGGTTGCGTAGTGCTCTCAGCCAAATGCCTGATCTGGAAGCTATTCAGCACTTTGTATGGCTAAACAGGAAATGCTGAGAGATTCCTATCTTTTCCCAGAACTTATTCAACCAGGTCAAGCCTTCAGTTGTACTTCAAAAAAGATGCTGAGGAATTTCCGCAACCTGGTACATGCCAGATAGATTGGATTAGACAATGCCTGGGGATGATGGCACTTGTAGTCCAGCTCCTGGGTGTGGGGAGTCTATTCTAAACCCTTTATAATTGCATTAACCTCTCCAATCTTCTCCAATAACCTTTTGTACTGCTGGCAAATCCAGATTCTGCTTCTGCAGCGCCAAGAACCTGATGCTGCTTCCTCCTCTGTAGCAAATTACACACAAGAACCATGTGTAGAATAGCAAATTACGCACAAGAACCATTTGTAGAAAGCTCTTTATTTTTAAGTTATTTCCAAAAAATGAGTTCGTTCTTGTTTCTTTAGGAAGTTCCAATCATCTCAAAACATGGATCCACAAAAAAGAGAGAGAAAGAGAACAAAAAAGAGAGACATTGAGAGAAAGAGAAGAAATAAGGAGATGGGAGAAAAAACAAAGAAATGCAGATAGAAGTCCCTCGAGGAAAGACAATAAAAACTCCTCAACACCAAGGATCAGTTGAGAGAAACAAAAATAATAATTGAACCTTAGAATGGCAGGGGGCAGGGTGCCATTCTTTCCCTAAACTCCAACCCTCCTGGGGTTTATCTACAAGGTGATGCTCAGCCAACAGGCCCCAACCACATCTGGCAGCAGATGGGGCTAATAATGCTCTTTCTCCTGCTTGTATTTGAAGGCTGCTGGTTTGGTTTCTTATGCTGCAATCCTAAATGCAATTATGGAAGAGGTGCCCCACTGAAGCCAGTGGACTTCCCTCTGAGTAAGCACAATAGAAGCAAATCTTTCTTTTCAGGAAGTCCCACAGCTGGAGAATCATGAAGGCACCTATATTCCGCACATACCCCCAAAATCATCTCGCTAGTCTGGCATGAGTGAGTGTGCTCCAAATTTTCGGTTAAAACCCCAAGAATCACCGTATTTTAAAAGGTCACATGGCTGCAGATGGCCCAGCCCTCCTGGAAGGAATTGTGCCCCTCGATTTCCAGAGGAAAACAGGAAAGAAAAAAGAGAAATGTCCATCAGAAAGTGCTCAAGTGGGGTGAAAGTACCTCTGGGGAGAGAGAATGAGAACTCCTGGTTTGTGTGCTCTTTTAAAAATCAGATTCACTGACTAAAATTTATCATGGGGAAGGGAAGGAAAGAGAGGAATTTGCTACTGAAGAAATCGGTTGCTGGATTTCATCCAGAACTGGTCTCTTGCACAAAAGAGGGGGAGGTGGGGAAAAACCGGGGAAGGTGCAGCTTTCCCCACTGCTGTAGTGCTATCATGGGAGAAGCGGCACTTGCCTGAATTCTCCCATCGCTATATGAGCAATTTAAAAGTAAAGGCGCCCTGCGCCGCACGGAAACCTGCCACCCTGTGGCCCCACAGAATGGGATGCTGGGAAGTTGGACTCCACAGTCCTTGCACCATTGTGGATCTATTCAATCAACTCAATTTTGTGAAACAGCAAAAAGAAAAGAAACAAACAACAACAGGAGAACAGCATTAGGCCAAGAGCCAGGAAGCGCGTCTTCCTGGCCCCCTCCCATCTTCACATGTTCCAGGAAACAGACACTGTTCTAGTTGTTAAGGGTAACATGGAAGATACCCCTCCAGTGTTTTTCTTACCTTATAAGCGCTACACAGGGGCAGTAAAGTCTAGAGTCAGGGTAGCGGGATTAACCTGGCTGCAGAAACAACCTAAACGCCTGCTTTTTTGGGCAATGCTGAACAGCCTTGTGATCAGAGAGCGGGCCCAGAATCCTTTGCAAAACGGTGCGCAACAGGACACATGCCGGCGTCTTGTGCCACGCAGCAAGGAATCCGGATCCTCTTGGATCACATGGTGCAAACACGTGTGGGGCAACAGTCTGTGGATGGAGAGCACGGGAGGGCCTCTGCTGATCCCCACTTGCCACCCCAAAGTTCCTTTCCTCCCCACTCACGGCGAGTTTCAGATTGTGACGTGGATGGGGCTCTGCAGGTGGTCGGGCAGGCTCTGCAGGTGGTCGGGAAGGCTTGGCAGGTCCGGTCCAGCGTTGGGCTCCCTCAAGTGGATTCTCTGGTGGTAGATCATGCTGTGTCTCCGCCGGAACCTCACCCCGCACTCGCCACACTGATACGGTCTCTCCCCAGTATGGATCCGCAGGTGCCGAGTGAGGTGTGACTGCCGGCCAAATCGTTTCCCACACTCGACACAGGGGTAGGGTCTCTCCCCGGTGTGAGTGATCCGGTGCCGGGTCAGGTGAGATTGTCGGCTGAACGTCTTCCCACACTCGGCGCAGGGATAGACCTTGCTCCCCAGGTGAGTCTTCTGGTGTCTTGTTAGCCCGTAGAGGTCATGGAAGATTTTCCCACACTCCATGCACTGGTAGGCTTGTTTCTCGGTGTGGGTCCGCTGATGGGCAGCCAGCTCTGAGGGCCAAATGAACCCTTTCCCGCACTCACTGCAGAAGTAACGCTTCTCTCCCGTGTGGATTCTCTGGTGTGTGGCGAGTTCTGATGGCCACCGGAATGCCTTGCCACACTCCCCGCAGAGGTGCCGTTTCTCGGCCACATTGGCACTCAGGTAAGTTGTGAGATGAGGTGGCCGGTTGGTGCCATTCCCACAATCTGTGACAAGTGTTGTGCTGTCGCCCGTGTGGGTTCTCTGGTGTGCGGCGAGCTCTGACGGCCACTGGAATCCTTTCCCACACTGTGCACAGAGGTAGTGTTTGTTTTTGTTATGTGTCTTCTGGTGTGCGGCCAGCTCCGATGGCCACCGGAACCCCTTCCCACACTCTGGGCAGAGGTGGGGCTTCTTGACGGTGTGAGGCTTTGCAAAGTCGACGGCCGGAGGGGTTTTCTCCCCCATGAAAACGTTTGGGTGCACAGTGAACTCCGACGGCCACTGGAACAAAGTCTCAGAATCAAGTGGATAATGCTGCTGCTCACCTGTGTGGATTCTCTGGTGGATGGCGAGCTCCGTTGACCACCGGAACCTCTTGCCACACTCCGTGCAAAGATGGCATTCCTCTCCCATGTGGGTTTTCTGGTGCCGGGTAAGATGCGAGGATCGGCCAAACTGCTTCCCGCACTCCGTGCAGTGATAGGATTTCGGCCTAGTGTGGACTTTCTGGTGTAAGGCCAACTCGGACTGGCATCGGAACCGTTTCCCACACTCGATGCAGGGGTGGCGCTTCTCTCTCACTCGGATCCTCTTTGGGACCAAATGCTGCATGGCTCCATTGAGCTTTTCACCAAATTCAAATGATGTGTCTGCTCTGCTGGGGGTCCTGGCACCTGCTGTAAAGATGGGGCAAGAGAGAATTCATGGGTTTCGCTGGTTTGAATTCTTGAGCTGCCACCCAATTAAAGCAAGACTGGTTAATTCATAGAATCACAGAAGAGTTGGAAGGGGCCATGAAGGCCATCGGGTCCAACCCCCTGCTGTTGCAGGCACACCATGTTACACCATCCCACTGAGATGGCTGCCCGGTTTCTTTCTGAATGTCTCCAGTGTGGGAGAGCCCACCACCCCTCTAGGCAGCTGGTTCCACTGTTGCATCGCTCTGACAGTGAGGAAGCTCTTCCTGATGTCCAGCCTGAATCTGGGTTGTCATGACTTGAACTTACTATTCTGTGTCCTACACTTTGGCCTCAGCGGGAAGAGATCTTGAATTAATGGCTTGGGTTTTAAGACAGTCAATTAATCAGATTAGGGCAACAAGGCTATGCGTTTACCTGAAAGTAAGGCCCACTGAATTCTAAGGGACTCACTTCCGAGTAGACACACACAGGATTGTGTTCTAAGATTGCCTATGGGGAAAAAGGAAGCTACATCTACAGGGGATGGGGAATCATACTTCTTTTCTTTCAGAGGTTGTCCTCCTATGTCAGAACAAGGACCATTTCTCCTATCCCCTCTTCTCCAAGACAGAATGCCCCTTCTAAGATGGGGCTTGCCGCCTGCAATTGTTTGAAGTACAGTGGTACTTCATGGGGAAATTTGACTTGGCTCACGCCCAATTTGGGTCACGACCAGAATCCTGGAACGGATTAAGTCTGTGAGCCAAGGTACCACTGTACTGGTATTTCTGCAGCTCACAGGCTGCAGTGCCTCATGGTTAATCTTCCAGGGTCTTCTTGCCAGAGGAAGGTATGCACAAACAGACCCACCAACACTCTCTCACCCACACATGCACTTCCATTCATGCACCTTCACATATAATGGACACTGATGTCCATTCATTCGCACACGCAAGGGTTCTAACCCTGCCTTGAAAAAGAGTGTCCCCACGGCTCCAAAATTTGGCTCCAAGGGGAGGCCTTTTTTTCACCTAACTGCCATGGGGGTAGACAAATGTTGAGATCAAATGCGCCCAGCCCAGCTGTGATCCTGATAGCGAGCTGCTTCCTTAAGCGTTGGATGGGATGAAAATGGGCATTTTCTAAAACAGAATGGCTCTATGTGAGGGGACAGTGATGACTGAATGGCCACAAGCCAGAATCAAGGGTTCTGCGAGCTGCTACTGGCCTTCATTTTCCATTCCCTTGAATTACACAACAATGAAGGCTGAATGAACAGCTACAGGGATTCTCGGAATATTCACAGGATTCCAGTGAAGAGGATAAAGTTGGGGAAAGGGCAATGCATGTCTGTCATTCCGATCTCCTTGAGGGAAAGGGCAAGAATACAAGTGTAATAAAATAGGATAAAGCAGAATGGTTGTGAATTGTTTTGAGAAAGCGATAATTAAACAACAGGCAGAAAGACACCATCAAACAAAAAGCTGTGAAGTTCCCAGACATGGCTTCAGAAAACAGATCCTGGAAACATTTGTACCATGGGTTTCCCAGCATGACATTCCAGGGTTGCCGCAAAACCTCTTGATCCCTGGGCAGGAGATCAAGTGGCACGCCTTCCTGGTGATTAATGCTAGTAAACAAACGATGTGATCTTATTTATTTATTTAGGATATTTCTAGGCCATCCATCACTTTCATCTCTGGACGGCTTACAATATCTTGCATGTGTGTAGTAAGAAAAAAGGCCCGGTTGGGGCCTGCTGGAAGTTTTTAGGCCTTTTTCTATATAAACATTCATAGTAGAATAAGGCAATCTCAACCCTCTGTGGCCTTAATGTCCCTGAAAGAAATGGTCACATCTTGCTTACACGCAGAAGCAACCTCTGATGGACCCCATGGATGTTGTCTTCTGGACCTACCTGAGCCTCCTTCATCTGCCGAAGAATCCCATGTTGCCTCTGTGTCAGAAGAACCTACACGGGAAGAGAAAGGAGCCAGGCCTGATGGTTAGCTTGAGGCACGTCCCAGGGTCATAAAGTATCTGTACCCTCTTCACTGTTTACCAGAGTCTCTTAAGACAGAAAGCTGGCATGCCCTCATTTGAAAGCTGAACGCAACTCACACCAGCATTATGGTAAAAGTACCCGGGAAAGGGAGTACAGACCTGCACCGGAGTGCAACAGTGGACTGCTCCGATGCCGCTGGAGGCAACAGGGATGCATGAGCTTTGGCCCTGAAGGCCTGGATCAAGTGAAAAAAACCATTCCATGAGGGAAGGGGGATCTACGGGCACTAGGAGCAAAGCTCCAAGAGTTGTTGATACAGGAATGACACACATACACACACCCCATTCAAGTGGCTCAGCAATGAATGATCCCTTCCAAGTTTTTGGGGAAACACTGCAAGCAATCTTTTTATACATGTTTTAAGAGTTTGAAAACAGTTTGGTTCAGATGTAATAGCTGATTTGGATGCCATGGCAATTATCGGTTGGCCCGAACAATGGAATGAGGAAGTGATTCTAAAAGAAGAAGAAAGAGACTCATGTCTGATTTGGAGGATCACCTGAACCATCCATACATGATTCTTTCTTGTTTGTTTATTTATTTAAAGTTTTTATATGCTGCCCCCTTGCTACATAGCCTCGGGACAGCTCACAGAAATAAATAAATAAACAATAACAATAACAATTAAAACCTGGAAACACACTGGCTACACAATTAAAATAGTCATCTCTCACATTGTATATGCTACATTTTATGCTTCCATGGTTTTCTATCTCCAATGCAGGACAGGAATAAATAGATACATAATGAAATAATAAATTTCATAAATAAATAAAAAATAATAAATGAAGGCCTTTAGACAGCGAAAGAGAACCAGCCCAAGGAAGTAAGAGTGAGGGGCAAAATATCCTTACCCAGCAAACAGATGTCCACGTCACCCCTCTGCTCAGGATCCATGCTCATGTCTCCCTGTTCAGCATCTGAAAGAGCCTGATCTTCATCAGGAAAATTCACCACCACCTCCTCAAACAGGTCTGAATCCTGAAACAACAAGCAGGACACCACTGAAGAAGGGCTGGCTGCTGTTCTTCCATCATGCCTTTATTTTATTTCTACAGCACCCCAACCTCTCAGGGCAGATCACAGCAGTTCATTAAAACATGAATCATACTACGAATATGATCAGCATAAAAATTGAATGCAGACAAATGTCTTGGAGAAAATGGTTACTGAAAGGATAATTGCTGCTAGGAAGGCCACAGTGGGGAGATCTTTCCATAGTTAGGTGGGTTGGTTCTGATGCCTCAAGCAAACCCTAACCTGGCTGTCATGAACCTCCTTCAGCCCTGATAGTGTTCTGGTTCCTTTGCAGACTTCCTGGTTATATCCAAAATGGCAAACTATCAGTTAAATTTATGTCGCACTTGCCTGCTCAGAAGAGTTCACAGGGCAGCTAACAATAATAAAAGAACGCTTAAAAACAAATTGTGAATTAAAAGATGACATGAAAATAAATCAGTTAAAATACAATCAAAAGAAATAGACAGCACTCAATCAGCTGAAAATTCCTTTGGTAGAAAAGCTTACATGTCAAAGGGCTGCCTGAATTTAAAAAAAAAAAAAAGTCTTTCCCTGCTGGCAGAAGGAAAGCCAACCTAGGCTTCCTCGGAGGGAGTTCCAGAGCCTGGGAGCAGCCACTCAGGTCTCCATAAATGGTCTTCCAGAGCTGAGCTGAGAAAAGGGTAGTCCCACTGCACGAAGACCTGAAAACCTGCGCAGGCTCGTGTAATTTGCACTCGCCCTCCAAACCAGAACTGGAAGACCACGACATTGTGGGGGAAACGCACGAGGCCCCAGTGCTGGAGCTAATCGCCAGCAGATGTTGATCTGCTGAAACCTGCAGATGACAGCAAACATGCAAGAGCACCCGTTACTTTAGAGAAAGCTATTTTAAAATTATTTAAATTATTGTGATTAAACTGGATAGAAGTTCAAAAGGGGGAGTTCATGTTTACTGTGTGACAGATAAGAACGGTAACTGAAATACAACACAGGTTATACTGTACAGAACATCTGAGGGTGAACAGGGAAGAATCGGGGGTAAGATCCCAACATGGTTTCAAAGTTGGCTTGATCCAGGGCCCCCACACCTCATACCATTCACTATTTGCAACGGTTTTTATTCCTTTCAGCTGGGGTATTTTATTTGCATGGTAGGATACTGGCAGTCCTTGATAAGTGTCAAACATACTGTCCCACTGTATTCATTGATGGATAAATATTCCGTCGTTTCAACCAAATGAACTCATCTTGATTTGGGAAGGGTGTGTGCGCAACCCCCTCTTACATACTCTCTTTGTGTGTAGAAGTAGAGGACATTTGCGATTATGCATCTCATTCAAATGTACAATCCCCTATCAGTAGTAAAAGAACAATCCAAAAAGGAATTATGTCACTTGTTTCTACATATTTATTATTTATTTATACTTTCATTTACATGCCACTTAAGGAGGCTTACAATAAATCGTGTTACTTGGCTATAATTCTACCACCATTAGCTCCTTTGCAAATCTGGATTTTGTTAATTTCCTCCTGGGGTGCACCGAAGCTACTTCATTGGAATGATTTTTTAAAAAGCAAGTTGGGATCAAAGGGAGAACCTTCTGCTCTAGCAACCTGCCCATCCATTGAGATCCACATATTAGGGCCTCCCCGGCTGTTCTGTCACCTAAGCAGGTACATCAGACCACAAATAAGATTTTTTGTTGCAACAGCCAACCACTGAAATTCTTTCCCCCTTGCAGTACAGCAGACACCAATGCTGATAGTGTTTCTGGGCCTACTGAAGATGTCTTTGCGTAGCCAAGCATGTTCGGCTTTCATAGCTGGCTTTCTTAGATATTCTGTTTTACTGTGCTTTTTATAATTTCATTTTCAATTGTTTTAATGAATATTGAACACCGCCCTGGAATTTGTTAATGAAAGGTTGCATATAAATATTTAATAGGAATATTTTGACGGCTCACCTCCTAACAAATATTCCTCTATCTGGTCCTTCTAAGAGGTACTGATGTATTGAGGCAAGACAAAATGCAGGATATCATATTCCACTGCATTCAACACAGCTCACAAATAAGATTAACATTCTTATTTTAAACTCCCACAAAGGATGGACATTTTGCTGGAGCTAAGAGATACTGTATTAAAGCCTCTATTCTGTGTTTCAAGGCCATGCAGATTCCAGAAAGTATCACAGCCTGGGACTTATAGAATCACCTCCAATTGTGGCCTTTAGATCAACCAAGCAAACCATTTATGCAATTCCTGTTTGCTATTTAGCATTGCCTGCTCAGAAAAAGCTGGTCCCCTACATTGGATCACTTTTGAACTGAAAGAGTGGGCCTTGTGTTCATACTGTTGGTCTGGGGGAGAATGGTAGATGGACAGCCAAGAGAGAAGAAAACCTTTGTTTGGCGGCTGGAGGACTACAACTCCCAAAAAGCTTTGTGGTAGATTCCTTGAAACCACTGCAAGCAGCAGGTGCAAAGATCCTTTGGGGGGTTTATAGGCAGCTGCAACCATCTTTGTAGGAGACCAGCAGGACAGCAAGGGAAAGTTGGAGAGAAGAGTGCTAGGAGCCCACGAGTTGTGGAGAGGTTAATCCGATTCAAAATTAAGGACTGGGCTGTGGGGCCTGCAGCAAAGCCCCAGAGGCCCAAGGAAGGAATAAAGGAAAGCAGGACTTTGCAGACAACCCAATCTATCTTTTCCTCAGGCACAAAACATAGTGTGGTGTCCTGGTTGCAGAATGTTGGCGGGGGCTCAAAAGTTTGAGGTTCTAGTCCCCATTCACCCATCACTCACTTTCAGGGCTGCTGTGAGGATGAAATGGGAAGAAAGAAACACTGGCATAGGCTCTTTGGAGGAAAGGCAGGCTTGTAATGATAAAGCATCATCACCATCATCGTCATCAAGAACCCATTCTAGCAAAAGTCCAACAGAGAACTCAAATTATTATTATTTTTTTGCCTTTTAATGGGTACTCAAGGGTCTCTGTCACTTGGGGCGCCTTGCCTTGCCTTGCCTTGCCTTGCCTTGCCTTGCCTTGCCTTGCCTTGCCTTTTGCCTTGCCTTGCCTTGCCTCGCCTGGTGGGATACTGAGGATGAAATAGAAGAAGCCTGCAACCAGCGTTTGATGTTCAAAAAAGGGCAGGCCCTGCAAATCTGCCCGAGGCACTCGCACCCTTTGACCTGGATTCCTCGCCCTTGGAATCCCAGCTATTTGCAGTAATTTCAGGGTCAAGAAACGCAGCTGCCCTGAACACCAAACCACAGCCCCATCCCTATGGTTGGTGTGCTGGGCCTGGGCAGCTTCCGAGACCCCACATCCCAGCAGGGACCCACTGACCAGAGCCCCCTGAACCTTTCTTGTTCACCGGTATCTCACCATGGCCCTGACCATGGCCCTGGTGGTGGTGGCAAGGAGGAGCAGTAGCAGGAAGTGCCATGGCAAACTGGCTCTCGCTGGAGAAACTGGTGCTGAGAAGATGGACTTGCTGAGGAAAGGGGCTAATTGAGGGTGTCTTGCCCAGGGGCCCTCCAAACCGAGAGCCAGTACTGCCCATGTCTCATTCTTGCCACCCCAACCCTACAGTCATGCCAAGGAACTGGCAACATGCATGACGAGGCATCCTTGCAATGCACGTTTTCCCTCTTTCTGTCCTACTTCATTGATCAGGCAACCAGAAGCATGGCGATGTGTCAACCATGTCATGCTACTGCACCCTAGCAGGGAGCGATGGAGGCAGAGAGACAGCATCTGCAATGGCTTGTCCTGGCTTCCAATGAATGATGAAAAACAAATACACGGAATAGGCAGCGTATTCCGTAAAATGGTTCAAAGGCAGTGCAGGTTGCCGAGTCCAGAATCGGGGGAAGCACAGCCACTCAGGGTTGTAATCCGAACTTTTAAGGACAGGTCCATGGTGCTTCCCAAAAATAGGTTCAGCAACATGGATAGTTCTTTTCCAAATCAGACCAAAACCCAGAGTGGATTCGCACTCACTCCTCTGAGATCAAAACCATCCACCACTGCTTCTTAGAACATAGCATGATTATTAAAAAATAAAAGAGCAAGGAAATAAAAACTCATTAGTGGCCCATGTCTAGAGGGGGTCTGAGACTCCATCTTGACATCTCCATTTAACAATCAGGCAGCTGGTGATGGGAAAAAACCTCTGTCTGAAATCATGGAGAGCTGCTTCACTATCAACCTGGTGCTTTTCAGAGCTTTTGGACTACAACTCCCACAATCCCCAACTGCAGTTTAATTTCATCAAAAGGGTTACTCCAGCTACCTATTGCTCTATCTTGGTCTTCTGAGAGTTTCAGCTTATTTTGGAATGTTGTTGCACCCAATGCAGAAGTCATTGGAGAATTTTTAGGGTCCCTGTCATATAAGTGATGAAACTGCTGGAGGTGGGCATACAAATCCAGAGGTGAAGCGTGTATGTTTATCTGAACATTTGTTTATTTGAAATTTCATTCCAGCCTCACTATATTAGGCAATCTTATGCATGTTTAGGCAGAAAAAAAAACATACAACTCCCTGAATTCCTCAACTGGAATGCTGGGAGTTGTACGTTTTTTCTGTGTCTATCTACATAAGATAATGAGGAAAGTCCTTTTTGGTTGAGACCAAGGATCAATTAGATTAGAAATATTGGACTGGGAATTTCACATCCGCACTAGATCTTCCAGCAGAGGCCTTCCAGTAACATGGGTAAAGTCCTATTTAAGGCGGCAGTGACTGATCTATATATGCAGCAGAATGAGGTGGAAATTTTACCTACAGTGATAGAATTTCAGACTGCAGGTGGGAGATCATATTTTTGAGCACAGTCCTGCATGAGCGAACAAACAAAACAAAACCATGCCCTAGAAACAGAAAATAAAGTGAAGCACAGAGTGAGTTGTGATAGGATCTGTCTGTCTGAAGTGCTTTGGTCGTTTCTTATTGTTTGCAAGAAATTTGAAATGTAGGAGCCCATTCAAAAACAGCACTCCATCATCTTCAGCTGAAGTAGTAAAGCTAATTCTACACCCCTTCAAGATTTCACCCTTTCATTCTGCTCCATGCACAGGCTAGGATGGTGAGTTACATTCAATAACGAAGTCTCAAAAAGATAAAAAAGTTTTGAAATGTTCTATTTGAAATATGAAAGGGAATCAAAATTGACGGAATAACTGTCGGGCTTTGCTGAAAACTTAGGTCCTGTATTTAAAGTCTGGCATCCAAAAACAGGAAAGGAGGGAAATGCACTCTGCAGCAACTCAGAGGCATTCTTTTTCTTGTTATTTCATTTGTTTCAGGACTGAACTTAGTGAAATTAGAGCCCAAAGTAAGGCCTGCCTCAGTCAACATCCTGACTAAATATCGAAGAGATGTAGGCAGCTAACAGCCCCTAGTATTTCAATTGGGTGTGCTAATTCCAACCATGTGCCTGGGTCATGAATGTATCAAGGAGGTCTTCTTTCAGGTATGAACTTCTCCAAGGTTTTAAGATCAGTTTGTGAGATGCCACTACAAATTCCAATTATCGAGAGCTTGTCTGGCTTCCCCTAGAAGTAGGCTGTTTTTGGACCATTGGAATGCCGTTATATTTGCTTGTTTAGCTCTGCTCTAGCAGTATTTCAGAAGAATGCAAAGCAATTTTAATGCACTTATGTATATGATGTATCTTGATGTTTACCATGCTCTGAAAGGAATCTGAAGTCTGTTCCAAAAGCACCCACACAATGCCACTTGGTGGGTGAGTAGCGGGCCTTTTCCATGGCAGCTCCCAAACTGTGAAATGTTATCCTTTGAAAGAGCTGCCTGGCAAAGATCATTTTTATTCTTCCCAGCCCTTCAAAAGAATTGTTAACATTTTTATTTTCTTAATAAAATATTTTGTTTTACCTTTTCCATGTTTTAAATGCTTGGACATGGATCTCTTCTTCTGAAATTATTTTAAAGTATTGCTCCTGCATTTAAAACTATCACTTTAACTTTTTTATCATTGGTTTTGTTGCATTTGTTTTTATTATGTAAGTCACTCTGAGCCCTTTGGATAGCAGAAAATACATAAATTGAATGAATACTTACATTTTGCCACATCTTCAGTGTTTAAAACTAGCTTGTTATACACAAAAGTGCATATATAGAGAGACCTACAACAAGATAGAACTATATTGCAGCCTTCCTTGAACTGATGTTGTCCAACATATTTGGAAGGCAATTCCTCCTGGCTGAGGAATGCTGGGAGTTGTAGTCCAACATATCTTTACTATGACAATTTGGAGAAGGCTACCATACGGGTATTTGCTCTTCAGATTCCAGCATCTCCATTCCATCTCTTTCTTCTAGTCCGCTCCCCCTTCCCACAACAGCCACTTAAGCGTACCTCACTCATCACAGAGCTGTGCTTGCCCCCTCCTTGGCCACCTTCAGGGAAGTTTTGTACATCTGCAAATCTTGGGAGCCCCCCCAGATGTGTGGGCACCTCCATTATGTCCATGTGTGGGGCTGTTTTGGACATCCAGCCAATAACACTCATGACCAAACACTGGCAGTAAAAGTACAGTAAAAGGTACATTGTTTTATAGATGCCCCATAGTTTGTGGCTTTCTGTGATTTCATTGTATTGCATGCCACTGAAAAGCAATATGGCAACTTCATTATTAACGACGACCGCAACAATTGGGACCGAGCACTGCAATTTGCTACCAGTGTGGAGCGGGCTGCTATCCCTCCCAGGGCAAAATATTCCTGTCGTTCCCTCGCTAGCGCCCCACCGCTCTTTCCTTCCCATCTCTGCTGCAGTTAAACAGGCTCAGCTACTTGTCTGGGATGTTAAATGTGGGGGAAGGCATCTGGGACAACTTTACAGAGAAATCTACCCCACCGCAGAACCGCAAGGTGATTAGAGATAGGGGGCCGACAGCCTCTCACCTCCTCGTCCGCTCGCTCTGCCTCCCGCTGCCTGGCCAGGAACTCCTCTGCCAGGGCTACCGCCCGTGCGCAAGTCTCAGGGCTGCATTCCCACACTCGGCTCCGAATCCCAGGAGGAAGAACAGCCAGGAACTGCTCCAGAATCAGCACGTCCAGAATCTGCTCCTTGGTGCGGTTCTTCGGCTTCAGCCAGTGATTGCAAAGCTCCCACAGCTGTCCGCAGGCCTTGCGCGGCCCCTCCGTCTCCTGGTAGCTGAACTGCCGGAAGCGCCGGCGGGCCGTCTCCAGGGTGAAGCCACCGTTCCCTCCCGATACGGAGGACCGCACCTTCCCACCGCTCCCCCTGTCTGCCCCGGGGGGGCTGGTGTGGGTCTCTGGGTGGCCCTCTTCCACAAACGGCACGCCCCACGAGGAAGAAGTGCTGTTCCCCGCTTGCTCCAACGCAGTAGGGAAAGTCTCTGGTTCTACATCGACCTGGGCCACCTCTGTGACGGAGGGAGCCTCTGGTGGAAGCAGCCGTGGTGATGGTGGGTGAACCACTTCAGATACTGGAGGCTGAGGTGCCTGCGACACTTCTTCCCACTGGACCTCCCAGCGCTGAGGCTGAGGGGTCTCCTCAAGCTGCTCCAGTTCAGCTGTGGGTGATGACTCCAATCCTAGAAGCTCCTCAACAGTCCCAGTGCATACCACAAGAAGAGAATCATCGCCTTCTTCTGCTCCCACTGGCTCTTGTGCATGACCTGATGGACTGTCCTCCTCCTCCTCCTCCTCTTCCTCTTCCTCCTCATCATCATCATCCACCACCTCCTCCTCCTCCTCCTCTTCTTCTTCCTCCTCCTCCTCTCCCCCCTCTTCCTCCTCCTCCTCCTCCTCCTCTTCTCCATCTGGATCTACTACTATTTCTTCCTGGACCTCTTCTTCAGCTCCTTCCGCATCTACTACCACTTCCTCCTCCTCCTCTCCTCCTTCCTCCTCCTCCTCAATGGTGATTTCCGGATACATCTCCTGTTCCAGCAAAACCTTGAAGTGGAGATCCAGATCCCCTGCCCCTTGCTCAGGCTCTATTTTGTCTTCCAAGAGGTAGACTGACTTATCCCAGTTGTAGACCGAAGTCTGGCCACCAAGGGCCCAAGTCTCACATGCAAACATGGTGGGTGGAAAGAATCTTTTGCCTCTGACTTTGACAGAAAGTTTAAATGAAAGAGAGCCAGCAGATTCCAGGGGACTGAGAGAATTTGGTCAGGGAGTCTGTTATGTAGCGCAATCCCTCCATATACTGAGCAGATGTGGCTTCAAAAAAGTTTTTCCAGGGGCGTTTCCTGCCTGAGGGGAGAAAAAAGTAGGACTATCATTTGATTAAGGAATCCGAGCTGATCAATCTGTTAAAACTCATATTAATAAACTGGGTAAGCCTGCATATGAATAAGAGGAATCTTTCCAAGGGAGGAAAAAAGAAGCACATCCTCTTTGTTCTTGAATGATGGACCACTGCAGGAACCATTTTAGAGAAGGTGGTCCCTCCCATGTGCGAGAGAAAGAGGGACCATCTCTCCTGGGATGGGCCCAGCTGCCCACAGATACTGCATTTATAAGTACTCCTTTAAAATGTAACTCTGCCACTCCGTTTATTGGAATGCAGTTTCTCCAAGTGGTCAAGCAGTCTGTAACAGATTATCCCTTAGAGCAGGGGTACAGAACCTCCAGTCCAGGGGGCCAAGTTAGCTCATCTGGAGTGGCAAGGGGCCCCCAAATGGCCCCAGCCCCTTTCTCCCCCACTGCACATTTGCTGGTTCCCTGTCTTTTGTGCAGACTTCCCCCATTCTGAAAGGCGACAGGGCCTCTCCCCAAGGCTTAATTACTGGCAGTAAAAACTGTAGGCTAAAATATGCACGTTTCTTTGGTTCTGCCCCCTTTGCTTTTGGCCACGCCCACGACTGGAACACAGCCCTAAGCTTTTCTCCAAACTGGAATTCAGCTCTTGAGTTGAAAGAGATTCTGCACCTCAGTTTAAACACTTTAAGCCTTTTAATAAAAAGAAAAAAAGACAGAGGACAAACTTGTTCAAGGGCACAATCCTATACAAGTTTAGAGAGAAAGAAGTCCTAGCTGTAGAACTTCAGAAAGAAACATACATAGGATTGCACCTTAAACAGTCTGTATGGGAAAATTTCCCCCATAGCAGCCACGGTAATCGTCTGTTATCTTCACTTCTCTCCTGAAGGAAGGAAGAGCGGCTCTACTAAGTTATTCCATTTGCTCACCATGTGAGCGCAAAAGGGGTGCACCAACTAAGCTTGCCCTTACGTCAGTGTACAGCACAAACGTCCGCAGGGAAGGGGCCTTTCATGGACAGCTGCGCACACATCACACAGTCCCTCGTGTAAATGTCAGGGCCCAGCCAGGACTGCTCATCCGGCTCGTGAAGAAATGCACAGGACATCTGGATAGGGTTCAAGAAAACATCCAAACGTGGTATCCCCTCTTTGCTCACAGCTTTGGCCCAGTCTATATCATGCAAACCTGAAGTACAGCAAAGGCTGCACCACTATAAACCACAAGTGGGAAATCGCATCACAAAATGATTCTCCCCATCAAAACTCCATGACCCTGAAAACCCATAATCTACCCTTGCTTGTGACATTTTTCCCGGGCTCAGGTAGTTTCTGATTACAGCAAGAACTACCCCCTTCATTCTGGAATGGTACAGCCCACACAGGATTGTGCCACATCTCCCCCCCCCCCGCCCAACTCCCCCAGCCTTCTTCCCCTGAACATATAGAATAGCCTTTCTGTCTTCTGGCCAGATGGCTGGGAGAACGTCAAGGACATTTTCTGCAACACAAAGCATGATGTTTCTCTGGCTCAAAACTGTGCAGAGGGCGCAACTTAGTTTCTTGTGCCAAGCAAAAAGCAGACTCCATGGCTTTGTTGCATGCAGCCTCTTTCTCCTTTTCAGCAGCTGAAATTGTCTTTCGATGGTACAGCCCCACAAGCACGGATGGGGTGATATGAACAATAATTGACTAAGACCACATACTATGCCAATATGGCACAATGGCCAGAATGAGTTTAAAGCATTTCATGACGAGACATTCAAAATGTCCAAATACAAGACTAGACTACGGCAAGTTGCAGATTATTTAAAATTGTATTTTTAATGCTATTTTAAAAGTCCTTGGTGCACCTGATCCCGTGACCGGACTGCCTCCTTCTATTTCCCTTCCTTCAGGAGAGGGGCTGTGGCAAAGTACCTGCTTTGCACACACATCAGGTGCAGTGCCCAGGTAGGAGAGGGAACTCTCTTGCTTGAAACTCAGGAGAACCACTGCCAGTCAGTGTTTGACAATATAAGCAAGTTGGACCAATGGTGTGATTCCACAGAACAGTTTCCTATAATCCAGGATGAAGTCCAAGAGCAGCATTTACCAACAGCTCGAAATGCAAAAGGTTGATCATCCTTCAAGATCAAAAACATGGGCAAATGTCACACCATACTATTCCTTTTTCAGTTCTATCTCATAGCTCCATAGAAAGCAAAACAATTGTAAACTACAACAGTGTGTCAGACAGAAATCTAAACAACTATTAGCAACAAAGGCATTGTGCTTACAGGTGACTATATTGAATTGTAACTATCTTTCAGATGAGCTGAGCAAATGAAAAAGTTTCTTATTTGCAAAGATCTGCCAGACAGTAGTGGAAGGAATCTGAATCTCCTTGAATTTTTCATGTTGAAAAATGCATTCAGCAGCTAGATTTAAACTTCATGTAATTTTCTGTTCTTCTTTGATTGTATACATACTTTTACTTTGAAAATGAATGTGCTTCTTTCTCTGCCACAAATGTAGCAAGAGTACTGACCTTCAAGAGATTTCCACAAAGCTTCAGTGAATAAGTTTGAGGAAACATTTCTATTTCCAGCTATTTGAAGAAGTGATATACACCTTTCCAAAAGCACTAATTTGTTGAAAGTGAGTTTTACTAAGACTCACACTGAACCTTCCCTCTAAAAAGATATTTTACTTTGCAAAAACTGGAACACTCTCTCTTCTACTAAAAGTCTCAAACTTCTCAAAAACATAAATGGAACAAGTTTACTATTAATAACAAAATGTAATTATGGAAACCAAGCAAACAACTCTTGCACTGTTGTTTTTTCTTTCTTCCACATACACATTTAGACACACATATTTACACTTAAAGGGTAAGTTTTAAAACAAAACAACAGTTGCAGCAATTAGTGCACAACTGGTCGTCTTTTGATTCCATCCTTCCCATGAGATCCATATCCCGAAGTAATTGTTAGGGCTTTATTTTTTAAAAAAATCGAACTATTCCATCCTCCAAAGAGGATACAAGCTAATTTCAATGATTTCTTATGCCAAGTTCATCATAAACTTGAGCATAAACAATGTCAATACAATCTATGCCTGGGAGATGCCCAAATTGCACTGAATGCCTTGAAGCAATCCCAGAGTAGTCCATGGCCAGGCTATGAACTGGTTAAGGTTAGTGCCAGCAGGACACTGCAGATGGGGAGTGGAGGGGAGGGGGACAAAACCAGTGGACCAGGCCATGGGGGAACCAACCTGCTTACTAATTATAAGGAGCACAGCTCTTCTATTGCAGCCTTCCTGGTTTACCTGCTCACACTCACCTATAAGCAAAGTAACCCAGATGCCTCATTGTTTGTTTAGAACTGGGAATAAGCAAAGGGCTAACCTACTAATTAATTAATTAACTAACAAATGGATTATTAAACACAGGATGAAGGGTGGAGGAGAAGCTGAGCACATCATTTTTAGTTACTCCAAGCCTAACCTAAGTAATGGCCCTTTTTCCAAAAGCAGGGGATAAGACACAACCCAGCCACCCACCTTGCCAAGCGACAGGGAGACCTTTGATGAAATGAGTCCCCCTCCCCACCATCAGAGGCTGAGAAACACCACCTCAACACCACCACCAGACCACGAATCTTTCTGATTGTAAACTGGGCTTCCTGTCCTCCTCTAACACAGATGTCTCAAATTTCCACCTCAAAACCCCCACCTTAGCTTCCTGTCCCCCCCCCAGGAAAACATGTCTGCCCGCCCCCCACGCCAGCTCCTAGCCCATCCTCCACCAGCAGAAAGCTCCCCCCCTCCAACAATACCCGCCCCCAACCCATCTGGCTAAAAAACCAGCTCCCTACTATACTCTTTTCCCCAAAGAAAGAAGGAAGGAAGGAAAGAAAGAAAGAAAGAAGGAAAGAAAGGATCCTGACCATTCATTTTCCAACCCTAACCCTTCCCCCACATCCTCGACCCCTCCCGCCCCTAAGCCCAGCTCCCGACCTTTCCCCCCACTCCAAAACCGCAGGAAGGCCCTGGTCCCTTTCCAGCCCCCCTTCTTCACTCCCCCTCCCCATTTGACACCAAGACAAGGGGAATGCAGCCATTTTGCCTCTTTGATGTGGCTGGGGGTGGGAGGGGCAAAGAGATGGCTAATGTTGCTCTCGCTGCTCTGCTCCCGCCGGCCCCTCTCCGATCTTTGACATGTCTCAGCTCAGATTTTGGGGGGGATCAAAGAAAGCCCCCCTACACAAAATGCATTGCACCCCCTCCTCCTCGTCGTCTTGCACGTGGCTTTGCAAAATGGGGAGGCCCGCCCCTGCAACTCACCCTTGCCAGGGAGAGCCGGTCTTCCCTCCCGTCCCCTTGCACCAGATGCGGTGGCTTGGGGTGGGGGTGTTGCAATCCCAAACCTCGCCCCCCCACCCAAAGGCGGAGCAGGAAGGCGCCTCCTCCTCTTCCTCCTTCCCCACGTGGGCGCCAACGGATTAACCCTTTGCACGCCTCAGGCGATCCGGCCTGACCTCCCCTCCCCCATCCCGATCAGTTGTTTTTTTTAATCCGCAGTTTCTTCAAAGGCATTTTTTTTTCCCCCGGCGGAGGCTTTCGCGGACACTGCGCGGCTCATCTGAAGCCGGGTCGGGGGAAGCGTGTGCCCTAAACTGATTTGTT